CAGAGTGTGGCACTAGGACACCAGCTCGCTGCAGGCAGAGTGTGGCACTAGGACACCAGCTCAGATGCAGGATCAACCTACAAGTCTGTGGCAGACAGACAGAAGAAAATATGTCATGTGTGCACACGCAATGGAGCATGGTCCTACCATAAAACTGAAACCCCGTCATCTGTGGCAGGATGGATACACCTGGAAGACATTACGGTGAAATAAGCCACATGCCACGTCCTTTCTAAGCAAGGATCTCTCACACGTGGAAAGCAAGACTATTGTTCTCACAATAGATGAAAGTGGAATAATTCCTAGGATATAGGAGAGGAAGAGGAAAAGAGAGATTAAAAGATGTTGGGTAGTAAGTACGAAGACACAGTCAGACGGAGGGAGGGAGTCCAAGCGTGATACAGCCTATCAGTAGGAAGTTAGAGTTCACTGAAGCAAGGAACCCAAAGGCTCCTAAGATGGGCTGGAGAGATGACTCAGAGGTTAAGAACACTGACTGCTCTTGCAGAGGACCTGGGTTTGATGCCCAGCACCCACATGGTGGCTCACAACCATCTATAACTCCGATTCCAGGAGAGCCAATGATATCCATGAGAACCATGGGAAGATATCCATGGATATCTTTGATATCCATGAGAACTGCACACATGTGGTGAACATATACATGCACACAAAACATTTACATATATAAAATCAAAGTAAATAAGTATTTTTATAAAAAGGCTCCAAATAGAGGCAAGAGACAAAGAGACCAAAAGCTAGCTGCCTTGGTTAACAGGGAGATGAAAAGCTGGCTGCACCCCCCAAATACCTGTACTTAGGACTTTCTCCATATTCCTAGTTGTATGACTTTGGGGAAATTACTTGCTTCTCTGTGCCTTGGTCTCCCTGTGTGTAAAATACTGAGGACAACTGTAGTATTTATACCAGTGGACCTCAGAGAGTCTGCTCTCCAGTCATAGTGATGAGTATAACTGCATTAGAGGTCGATGGACAAAGCCACACTAGGAAACCTGGCCACTAAGATGTATACAGTGGCTTAAGGGGTAGAAATGAGGCTGGCAAGTTAATACCCATCTCACCTGATGGCTTTATTTACCATAAAGTACCTAGGATGGGGACTGATAGTTTGTAAGTACTCTAGGTACTAGGTAGGGCCCTGTTTTAGTACTGTCTTGGTTTGTATTTTTAACCTGATGCTACCCAGTGCTGCACAGGGTCTGTAGAGTCCAAGGACCCTCAAGGCCAAGGTCAGTAAAGAACAGTTACAGCATTCCTGTGCTTTCAGGGAGCAGCCCCTCACACACTCCTCTCGCAGAGGCCTGAGAGGTTCTGAGCATCTAGCAATCAAGCACAGTAAACTGAGGCTACAATGGTCAGAGGAAAACCCCCAATAAGTGAGAGGGGTGCCCTGCTTCCCCCTGATATCCCCAGCGTGACCCCTTCAGTACAATACCGTGAGTGTCTGTCAGCATTTCCACTGATGAGAAGGGGGAAACACAGATTGGGGCTTTCATGGAAAGCGCCCCGATTCTCACAACCAGAATTCCTGCCTTTCAAGGGGGTGGGGGCAGATCTTTAACTTTTCCTTCGGCGTTTCAGAACCCAACTATTTGAAAAGCATCCTTTCTGAGGAACGGTATTTCCTGGCACAAAGCAGCCTTTGTCAAGTGACTCAGACTGATTGGTTTTCAATATCAATCGGCCTCAACTTACAGAGAAAAAGTGGGCACTGGGTATCAGTTTGATGTCAGGGTTTTTCCCGGTTTGAAGAGCTTTAAATACGGCTAGCCTGGAAGGTGCCAGTAGGTTGAGCTCCAGACTCCTGCCAAGATGCTTGTGGCCTCCATCCTTGCCTCTGCCCTGCTCTTCAGTGCTGTGGGCTCTGTGCTGAGCTCGAAATGCAGTACCTACATGGGGATCATAAACACCAACTTCCTTATCGGGAAGCTGAAGGTAGATTTATGGGGCTAGGGAGAGCTGGCAACTATGTGAGCCATCCCTGAAGGGTTAGGAAGGGCTCTCTACTCATTCTGGATTATCTTCTCTTTGCCTGCTGCAGGACGACCCACCCTCAAAATGCAGCTGCAACAGCAACGTGAGTGACTGATTCCTTAAGAACCTTCCCAGTCTGTCTTAAAGTTCACAGTTGGAATGTTCATGCTGTGATTTCTCCCTTGCAGGTGACCAGCTGTCTGTGTCTTCCCATCCCATCGGTAAGTACAGCTAAAAAAGAGCACTGGGTCGTTGTTCAAGCTTTGAAGAAAAATAACACAAGCTACTTCACATTCTAAATTTTAAATTATTACCTAAATGTAACTGTTATAGTATAGACCTTTGAAACTTTATCTATCTATCTATAATCTATCTATCTATCTATCTATCTATCTATCTATCTATCTATCTATCTATCTATCTGTGTGTATATATATATACACTATATTATACATATCTATACGTTTAAGTTAGCACCATGGCACTTGAGAAATTTGAATATTTTTCAGAGTCTAAAAACTATTGACTATCTTTTGGGATAAATGGCCGTGTACAACGTGAAAACGATGGCTATTGTTCTCTGATTCGTCTGCTGATGGCTCCAGGTTTGTGGAACAAAAGAACAGCATCAGGCATGGACTGTCCAGACGTCACACACACCTCTCCCTTCTCCTTCTCCTCCTTCTCCCTGCCCTCACCTCTTCCTCTTCCTCCATCTCCTTGCGGGTTTTCAATGACTGACAAATGGCTCCAACTATCCTCTGGGAGGACAGTATCCAAGTTTGGTGCTGGGACCCCGAGAGAGCAGCTCGCACTGTGACCGCGAGGATGGAGCAGGGAGGCTCGGGTCCCACTCCAGCTCTCGGTTAGGACGAGAGCACAGTCAGCCAGATCTGGGGCCACTGCAGGGCTCAGCCTGCAAGCCTGACCTGGGAGAAGCTGAGCTTGGAACTCTGTGGCGGTCAGATGTGGTTAGGAAAGGGTCCAGCTATTCTCTCCTTTCTCAGGGCAGGATTTTAGCTTGTCTGAAACACAAGCCCTATCCAATGGCCTGTTTCAGCTGATGTGAGAAAGGCTTTTCCTTTTTTGTCCTTTCAAACTTGCAACCACTGGACCTGGACAGGGCTAGCAGGTGCATGGAAAATGCCGGGCTGCCTTTGTGGGGCCGCAGGCCCACGTTTCCTGGATAGAATCTCCTTCTGAGTGTCGCTGCGAAAACGGCTCACCTTAAATTATTTAACTTCATTTCCTAGAGTGTCAAGAAACAGATGCAAAAATAGCACAAGTCTGGGTGACCCTGGTTAAATTAAGTTGCTCCTTAAAGTTCTCTTGGCGATTCTTTCTCAAAGGTGTCCCAGAGAGTTCTCATGAACCCTTTTCACAAGTCCTTATCATTTACCAGGATGATTGTACCACACCGTGCTTCCAGGAGGGACTGTCACAGGTGACCAATGCCACACAGGGAACAGCTTTCTCTGTTTCTTTCAATCAGTTGAAAAGGACAGTTGAAAGCCTAAAGAGCAACAAGTGTCCGGTGAGTTCTGTGTTCGTGTGTGACAACTGATTTCCGTGTGAATGCTGGCATCAAAGAGTACATCCTTGGGGTCAGAGCTGCAGCAGAGAAAAGCCGTCCGCTCATCTCTGAGCCAATGAAAACCGTCCGCTCATCTCTGAGCCAATGAGAAAGGCCGGTAGTTAGAGTCGGGGGCCCTGGAACTCACCCTGCTATAACCAAAAGCTACACTCCAGGGAGTCAGACTATGGCCCACACAGCACTGGGCCACCTAAAGACTCCATGGACTAACCTAGGATGTGGCAACCTTTAAGTCAGGGTTTGTTTGCTTGCTGAATGGCCCAAAAGGTTTGTAATAAGACACCAAGGTCTAGGTAGGTACTTGACACCTCCCCTGCAGTCTATCAGCACGTGCCTTGTTCCTGGGCCAGTGGGGGGCCACCGCCCTTTCTCCCTGGGCCTTGGTGTTCATAGGAGTGCAGCACCAGCAGTCTGAAGTGCTGTGGTTGGCCAGGCTGGTCATATATCTATGCCCACTGTGGCATCTGTTCTGGCTGTGCCACCTGCGCTGTCTGAGGACCAATTTTAACTCTGTCACCCCTGCTAAAGGAGGACAGTGATACCCAGGAAAGTTATTTTCCTGATGAGATTGTGTTTAATAAGAGACCAAGTTGGGACTTAAACTCTGGTCTATGTGAACCCAAAGTCTCACTCAGAACTACTGTGTTATAAAGTGATCTTGGAAGGATGTGGCAGGGGAGATAAAAAGTATACAGATAATTAGTCTTTAAAGAATCCTGAGAAAAGATTTTTTTCCCTAATCACATTTAAGGCTGTGTGTGTGTGTGTGTGTGTGTGTGTGTGTGTGTGTGTGTGTATGAGAGAGAGAGAGAGAGAGAGAGAGAGAGAGAGAGAGAGAGAGGCATGTAGACTCCTGGAATCCTGACCCCAGACTAACCCGCTACACCGTCTGTCTAGGATCACCTTGCTATTTTCCCCACATCTCACTCCTCTCTCCCCTGCCCATCAGCCTGTCCTCAAGGCTTGGGGACAATAGTCCTGCGGTTGCTAGGTGTACACTGCAGCTGCTCACTCTTTCTTGCCCTCGTCCCTCTCTGCAGTTTTTCTCCTGTGAAAAGCCATGCAACCAGACCACAGCAGGCAACACGCTGTCATTTTTGAAGAGTCTCCAGACGATGTTCCAGAAGGCAAGGATGCTAAGGCTGAAACAAGCGTGATGATGAACATTATTTATTCTATTTATTGAATTTATAAAGCCTTTCCTTTTTAATTGTTATAATAAAGAAATAAACTCAGCTCTTCTAGATCAAAGCCAGTTGTGCTCTTTTGTTCCACGTTTGCTTTGGGAATAAAGATCCACGGGGAGGGAGCAATACAAGCTGCCTCCAGGTGTTTTCTCCTTCCTTATTCATTCCTGCTGCTCGGAACAAATAGAGCTTCGAATGTTGTCATAGGTGGAATGGATCAAACTCAGTAATAAGCATGTTCATAAGCCTGAACCCAGAACTCAAGGCTTGAGCCTTGGCTGGTCCATAGGTGAGCAGCCACGCGGGACAATCTGACAGGTGACAGCAGCAGAGGCCAAGAGCTGCCTGGGGGAAGCACAGGGCACTTGTGCACTACCAAGGGCTTTTGTTCCTGTGAAACAAACTGTGGACCCAAAATGGGAAGGGCCTTTGTTTGGTGAGTCCAAGGGCTGAGAGACTCCTTGGGAATGCAGGTATGGGGGCTGGGAACGTGTAGCAGTGGTTCTGAGTTCTTTCTGCTCCTCCAGAGCAGAGTTCAGTTCCCAGAACCCTTGTCAGGAGCCTCATAGCCATCCATCACTCTAGCTCTAGGGAATCTGGTGCCTCTGCCCTCCAAGAGCATCTCCATTCATGTGTACATGCCCACATGCACACACATACATAGGCTCAACTCTTGTGCACATACCCACATGCGCACACATATATAGCCTCCACACATGTGCACAAGCACATACATACATAGTCTTCACTCACATGCACATGCCCACATGCACGCACATACATAGCCTCCACTCATATACACATGCCCATGTGCACACCTATACATAGCTTCCACTCATGTGCACATGCCCACATGCACACACACATACATAGCCTCCACTCATGCACACATGCCCACATGCACACACATGCATAGCTTCCACTCATGTGTACATGCACACACATACATAGCCTCCACTCATGTGTACATGCCCACATGCACACACATACATAGCCTCCACTCATGTGCACTTGCCTACATGCACACACATATAAGTCTCCACTCGTGTGCACATGCCCACATGTGCACACACACATAACATGGGCGTGGCATATATAAGAATGCAAAGGGCTGGCAGCAGGCCTGGATTTGAGTCGCAGGGCATGGGCTTCAGGGTGGAGCTTGGGGGAAAGACGAATGGGATCCACATGGTCTGTTTACACAGTGCTGTTCCGGGAGCACCCACCACGTGTCAGTCAGCAAACCCTAAGGTGCAAACCCCATACCCCTCACTATGACCCTCTACATACCCACTCCAGTGTCTGCTGCTCGCTCCATGGACTCAGTTTGTCCACTCCTATACTAGCACGGAGCTCATGGAGCAGGTGCCCTGTGCATACAGTTTGAATGGTGGCTCTCCAGATGCAAGGGCACCACTGAGTCAGGAGTATGCATGCCTGGTGGATAGACTGGACGCAGAACATTCTATGGGTATCTTTGCAACACCCCTAGTCGGGTCAAGGGTCAGCTTATGCTATCTGCCTACCTGGGATGGAAAAGACTTCAGGCTTGTTTGAAGAACTGGCGGACACAGGATCAAGGACAGGGTGAGAGTCTTTGACAGAGAGAATGGTCCTCTCCTCCCCCACCTACTGAATCAGAGGTATGTGGGAACCATGGGTTCGGTCTTCATGTGTGAAGCTTCCAGAACTAGGCTCCTGCCTCCACACAGTGCATTGAATAGGGAGCATGTCTGCGTATGTGTGTCATGCCTGCTGTCTGGCCTGTGGATCCCCCAAAGCCTTTCCCCACCCCTTCCAAATTTACCACTCAAAGTGTGATACACAGGAAATGCTGATGAGGTCTAGTAAGCCACAGACTTAAAATAATCATTAGTGCTGAGCACTTCACGTGGGGCATCGTCTCTGATTGGACCAGGAGGGAGAACTTTATTTAATCACCCAGGATTGGTGGGAAGTAGACACTAGTATTTCCTTTTTTATAAGCATGAACATGGAAGCTTTCTAGGTTGGAGATATTCCCAAGTTCCCTCAGCTGAGGAAAACTTAGAGCAGAGAGCCACTTCCAGCTGGCTCTGTTTGTCAACCCATTGCTCTGCCTGCCCTGTTCTGTTGTTCTTCTGTCTAGGTAAGATTTCCATGCTTCGTCCTCTGACCACAGCCTGAGGGGCGAATGGGTCACCACAGCCCAGTGCGCACCCACTTATCCAGAGAGCCACCCACTTATGCAGAAAGCAAGGGTCAGGCAGGGTTCAGATTTCAAGCATTTTAGTCCTTTCAAAAGTTAATGCACAATTCATGGGCCACATTATGTAACACCCCTAGCAGGGCCTGGAGCACAATTCTGCGATTAAATGCATCAATATTCTGCAGCGAAACCAGAGAACATTCACACAGAGCAGTCAAGGTTTACAGCCAAATGAGTCACAACAACCTTGAGTTGGCGGAGCTGTTTGGGTTTCAGGGCGGTGATAAGGGATTGGCAACCTGCATGAACAAAACAGCTTTGCTCCAGCTCGGGGCTCACTTACATCCTGCCTGGCTCTGGGTCATCTCCAGGAGGAACGGAGACTTCTGCAGCTCCCTGGCTGGCTGGCTACATGGCGGCCCTGGTGGCTTCCCCTGCACCTGGGCTTTCTGAGTCACATTACTCTCTGTGGTTTGCAGTCTGCCCTCACCTCAGCAGGACTGCAGGCAAGGGAGGATGCCAGGGGTTGGGGATGATCTCAGCCCGACGACACAAGCTACTGCTAGAGGAGAGGAACTGAGCAACATAAACTGAAACCCTTTGCCACATCAAAACCAGTTGCCAGCTGGGTGCTTTCCCTTGGCTTGTCTGTAAAGTTGTGTGAGATAAGTACTCACTCCTGCAGGCAGACCCTGAGGAGGGCTCACCTGGAGTGAGATGGGCAGTCCCGGGAGAGCTGGGCTCTATCAAGGAACACCTTGGAGAAAGGAGAAGAAACAAATTTTCTGGGCATCAGGCAGCACTAAGTATGATCTGTGGGAGAGAGTCAGAGCCTCCCACTGACCCCATGAAGAATTCACTAACGGTTGTGTATGATTATTCTCACTGTAGGGATGGGAGAGCTGAGGCTCAGAAGCACACTGTTCAAGTGGATGAGACTGCCGCCCTGCACAGGCGGCTAAGCCATCAGCAGATTTGTTCCAGGAACCCAGAGAATAAAACAGAGACCACCTAGAGAATCCTCCCTGCATCCCAACCCCAGAGCCCCAAGTATCCCCCAAGGAAGAAGGAGACCATCTTGAGCTGAACATTTCACTCAAAACTCATAAATTTCCCCCAGAAGTGTCAAAAACCCCGTTTTCCCCAGCTATAAGGGTAGAATGGAGGCGGGGGGGGGGGAGTTTGTGAACTTGCATTCTGCACCCCCGAGGATCTGAAGCTGCATCCTGCACTCCCGAGGATGTGAACCCACATCCTGCACCCCCGAGGATGTGAACCTGTATTCTGCACCCCCGAGGATGTGAACCTGCATCCTGCACCCCCAAAGTTGTGAACCTGCATCCTGC